GGGTTCGGAGGCCTACGTGTTACCTGGATGCCGATGAAGATGATCTCAATGATGGGGAAGACGAGCTCGAGCTGGGACTTGCAGTGGATGTGGCTCACGTCGTAGCCCACGCGGAAGACATTGAGGCAGATGGTGCAGCTGCCAAACAGCACGACGGAGCCTGGCCGGGCCAGGCGGGCATTGGGACCTCCGTGGAAGCCTCCTCGCCCTCGGCACCCCCTCCACCCAGCATGCACCCCAGCACTCACCCCTCACCCAGATGGGCCCAGCGTGAGGATCCCGGTAGAGCACGGCGTGTGGCCGCCGGCTGGTGCCAGCCACGTAGTAGAGTAGCCAGAAGAGGGAGAGGGCCTTGAGGGTGACCAGCAAGAACCACACGTCCACCAGCGTGACGGCCACCTGGTTGAAGATCATGCTGCAGATGAAGGCGCCGCCCAGGAACACCACGTTGAGGGCCAGGAGCCCTGACAAGAGCTGACCAGCCTTCTGGGCTTGTGAGTCCCTCCGCAGCAGCAGTGAGAAATGTCGGACCAGCCAGGACTTCTGCTCGGGTGGGGCTGGGGCCCCAGTGTCCTCGGCCCGTATGTCCATCGCACTCTTCCTGCCCGGGACTGCTATGGTCTCCTGTGCTTCAGGACAGGACTCCAGGGGGCCCTGAGCAGGGCCTGGGGAGGGAGAGAGAGTCCTGTGCTATACAGCCAAGCTGTCCCACGTCCATTTCCACCCCTGCCCCCAACAGCAATATCCCAACTTCTCCAGTAGGGATATTGGAAATAATGGCCACTGCCTCACCTACTTTACAAGACCCAAGGAGGGTCAGACAGACCAAGGGACAGGGGAGTCTTGCTGCTGCACATACATGTTGTTTCAACGGCTTGAAGACAGGGCCCTCCTGCCAACCTGTCATCCGCCTCCTCAGCTGTGATTCAGCCTGCTAAGGGTGGGGGCAGGTGCACCCCATGGTGCCAGGCCACAGGGCAGGTCCCTGGGCTGTGATTGTGTGAAACCAAAAAGGTTGTTAGTGCCCATCTGTCTTCGGGGAGGAAGTTAACTTCTGGGGCCAGGAAGGCGAGCAGGGGTCCTTTCCTGTTCTGACTTGGATTAGTGGGTTCTGACTATCTGGAATGTGGGGTGGCAAAGGATCCCAAGGCCAAGTCTGCACTGGACGAGAAAGAATGCGGAGACCTGAAATGACAGTCTAAGTCCATGGGCACACAGGGGTAAACAGAACACTGCTTTTAAAATGCTCAGATTTGGCGAGCTCCGGTGGCCTAGTGGCAGGAAACTGCACTGCAATCCCAGAGGTACGCGGTTCAAATCCACCAGATGCTCTGCTGAAGAGGGAGGAACAATCGCCTCCTGTACCAGTCAGATCCAATTTGACGGTACACACATAAAATTAAAAAAAAAATGCTCAGATTTAAAGAAATCATCCCTATGAGATCAAGGAGTCAACAGTTGTTTTAAAACAAAGAGTAGGATATTAGGCGTTAGGGAAAGCAGATTATCAGAAGCAGAGCCAGAAGAGAATGCTTACATATTTCAAAGGACAAAGAATAAAATAAAGAATGCCTAGCCGGATACCCATGGAATTCACATGTGTGTTTCTGTTGGTACTAGGGTTAGGGACAGTGTGCTTTTCTTTAGATGTAATGTTACAGTGTGTTGTGTTGATTTTTGTTTTGTTTTGTTTTTTTTAAATACATTCCGTATGTAAGTGAAATTAGTTTTACAATGAACACGGGAAGTTCTGGGATTGATTTGCAATGGGTGGGTTGGAATGCACAGGAGCGCCCTGCCCTTGACCTTCACAGAATTGCCTTCCATCTTCTCCCTCACCCCATATCCACAAATATCCAGGGAAGCCTGGAAATGACCTTTGAGTCTTCTCTTGCCTGACTATCTCCTGCAACTTCCTCATCTTCCTCCCCAAACTGTCACTCAGGCCAGTCACTTTGTCCCTCTCAGTAAACCCAGAGCATGAGCAACCCAGCATCTGCAGTTGTGGTTCTGGGTGGGCCCCTGGCTGGGCCACTCCTCCTGAGCTGACCTAGGGGCTCCCCACACACACCCCATTCCTTGAGGACCCTCTTCTTTGCCATGCCCCCACCCTGCCGCACTCCCTGACCCTTGTGCTCTATGCCCAGGGTCCTGGGTGCACACTGTGCCCTGGCCTGGAAGAGGCCTGCTCCCTCAGAGAGTGGCACCTCCATGCCCCCACCTCTGAGTTGAGAACTGAGCTGCTTCCTTGCACTCGCCTTGTCCCCACTGCCCCACAGACGCCAGATCTATCCAGGGGCCTCTCTCATCTCGCTTGGACTCATGCTAGAGGCTCTTCCTGGCTTCCCTGACCTTTGTGCCTCTGGGCACCCAGCAAAGTCGACCTACTGCCCTCAGTATAAAGTCCAAGCCACCCAGCATGGCCGTGGCAGTGGACGTAAAGGTTTCTGCACAGCCTGCCCACTGGAAGGGCTCAAGGCAGGGGCTAGCATTGCTTTCAAGTGGCCCTAGTTCTGTCCTCTGTCCACAGGCCAGCCTACAGGACTGCGGAAACCAGAACGCCCCTGTTTTCGACCCCCTCCCTGTGTCTGCCCCACATCATTGTGCCCACACCATCTAGGCGCTGTGCCTCGTAGATGCTTGAAGGCTCAGCTGACACCCCAAGGCTGGGAGAGGTGCTCCCTCCTGGGGCTCCCAGCCCACTTTACCCCACTGCATTTTTTTTTATAATTTATTTTGTTTTTGTTGTTGTTATTGAGACTATACACAGCAGAACATATACCAACTCAACAATTTCTACACTTCAGCAATTCAACAATTTCTACAGATGCAATTCAGTGACACAGATCACATTCTCCGAGTCGTGAAACCGTTCTCAGCTTCCTCTTCTGAGTTGTTTCTCCCTCAACAACACAAGCACACTGCCTGTCCCCGAGGTTTTCTTTCTTTACTCTTTTGTATGACTGCTGTCAATTTGGTCCCACAGACATAGATCTTAAGGGAACACAACACTCAAGGTGGATATTTACTAAAACTCAGTCATGAGTTGGAACCTGTCCACCATCTTTCTTCTGTGGGGCCTCGGTTGCCAGAGAGGTGTGTCTTCTGCGTTAGTGACACCACTGTCTGTAGACTAGGCTGCTGAGCTCCCCCCTCCCCCTTTCTTCACAGCAGCGGTTGTTATGCGCCTTCAGAATGAGGGGCGGCCAGCTGCATAGAGGAGACTACCTAGCTCTCTCCCAGGGAGCAGCTGATGGATTCGAACCACACACCTTTGGGTTGGCAGCTCCTCTCCTTACCACTAAGCCATCAGAGCTCCCCGCATTCTTTACTGCTGCTGTTGTTGCTGTGTACCATCGAATCAGAACTGACTCTCAGCTGACTCTCTAGCTGGTTTTCAGAGGCAGTAAATCGTACGGAAGAAGCTTGCCCATTTTACTCCTGCGGAACAACTGGTGGGTTCGAACTTCATGCATTTGGGTTGTCAGTGTGACTCCTTACCACTAAGCCATCAGAGCTCCTCCCATTCTTGTGAAGTAAAACTACTATTTGGTGTTAAGGAGACTTCAGGGGAGATTTTTGGTTTCAGGTTTCATCATTATCTGAGGACAACAGTTTTATAATGTTCATCCAATCCCCACGGCTCCACAAAGCCCAGATTTCCTGAGAATTTCATATTCTGTTCCCTATTTTCCCTTCTTTTGATCAAGATTCTTCTATAGTCTTTGATCAAAATGTTCAGTAATGGTAGCTGGGCACCAGCCAGTCCTCTAGTCTCGAAGCAAACGAGGTAGATGCTTATCTTGCTCTCCTTCCATTTCCTGTGCCATCTCTCTCCGTAGACTCAGTATCTTGAACCTCGGATTTTCTCTCTGGTGTGGTCCCCAGAGAAACCTCACCACACTAAGTTCTAAAATGCAGTCTCTTCAGGCCTCCTATTCTCTGAATGCCATCTGCTCAACATTCCTATCTTCTACTGTTCTCTTCTGTAGTGAACTATGACAATCTTTCAAAATATTTTTCTCCCCTTTGGTCAGTCCTCCTTGTCTTTGCTCCAGCTTTGTCCTCTCCCCACCCATCTCATCCCCACGCTGCAGACACCGCCTCCACGTCTAGCCAAGTCCAGCAAGAGGGCTCCTGTGTCTCGTCTCCATCTCCCTCCCTCAACCTCAACCTCACCCACCTTCGCCCCACCAAGAGCTCTGGGTCACCCTCCCCACCCACCTCGGAGCCTCTCCCTGAAGCCTTCTGGTGGCCACCTTGTTGGACCAGTCCCCTCTCTCTGAGTACACTGCCTGGCAAGATGCTGGGGGCGTGGCTGGCTCCCCTGGTGCCCAGGAGCTCCCTGGGAGCAGAACCCAGGTCCTGCTTAACTCAGAGTCCCCAAGTCAGCGGGAGCATGGTACTCAACAAGTGTGGGCTGGGTCCGTCAGGAACTTTCAGCACTGAAACCACGGACTGAGCCCCTCCCATTTAAACTTCCTAGAGCCTGGTGAAGACAGCTGAGCCTGTCTTGATGCTTTCCTCCCAGCCCACGTTGTGCAAGCTTGAGGCTCTCTTGGTACCTCCCGCGCTAATTTATTCTAAGGTAAACTACTCCACCTGCCTTCTCCAAATCCACCCTCTTCCACTCCCCCTAGGTCTAATGATTAACCCCTTGACATCAAGAGGCTTCCTACTTACAGACCCTGTTTGGTTGTTGTTGTTAGATGCTGTTAAGCCAAGATCAGCTCATTGCAACCCTGTGAACAACAGGCTGAATCCTGCCCTATCGTGCGTTATCTTTATCATCTCTTGTATATGTGACCCTCTTACTGCTGCTACTCTGTCAGTCCATCTCGTGGAGTGTCTTCCTCTCTTCCGCTGACCATCCATGTTTCCAAGCATGATGTCCTTTTCCAAGGAATAGCCTTGGAACACGCCCAAAGAATGTGAGACGAAGCGTCACCATCTTTGTCTCCAAGGGGCACTCTGATTCCACCTTCTCCACGTGTTTGTTTTCCTGCAGTCCATGGGGCACCCAGCACTCTTCACCACCACCAAAACTCAGAAGCCATCCTACGGGGCACCATAAAACGGGCCCGTATAGTTTCCAAACTTGCAATCTTTGTGAAGCAGCTGCCTGATCTTTCTCTTGCCAGGTGGTTAAGTGGGTTTGAACAACCAACTTTCCAGGTAATTCAGATTCTGCCATTTACTATTCCTGTGATCTTGGATAAATCACTTAAACTCCTTGTGTTTCCTCATCTATAAAATGGGTTTAATAAATGCACTTAGCACCATGACATAATACCTTGTTCATAGCAGATGACCAACCAGTAAACATTTCTGGAATGAACCTATACAGACTGTCAACGATCCCCGTGGTTTTGTCGGAATTAAAGAACTTCCCACATTTAAGTACTTAAAGGGCAATGGCTGGTATACGAGAAGCCTCAATGTTACTGCTGGGGCATTGCCTTCCAATTCTTAGAAAATTCTGGAGAAGTTAGGAGGGGCAGGGTTACTGGCGAATTCCGGAGCGGGTTTGTGCAAGCCAGAGGGAACACTGGGGAACAGTATTCCGGATCCTCTCCCTCCAGGGTTTCCACATGCCCCCACCTTGTCTCCAGTTCCAGGGGGCCAAGCCTTCAAGGCGGATTCACTCTGCAGCGAGGCAGACCAGGTAGGGGTTTCAGGAGAGTGACAAAGAGGAGCCTGCACCCCTGGCACTCCCCTCGGCGTGAAGCCAGGCCCAGACGCCTAACTGGTTTGTGGGTCGCGGTCAGAGGCGGGTGATGAAAGCAGAGCCGTCGGGGCGCGGCGCGGGGCATGCGCGCAGGAACGGTTTCGGGAGGCTGTGGGGCGCCAGGCGGAGGGGGGGGGGTCTTCGGGGTTTCTCTAGATCCATAGAGGGTCTGCAGGGCCCGGGAAAGGCGCTGCCAGCGAGCCCCTCTTTCCAACTGCCGGGCTGTCGCTTCCCCCTGACCTGGGCGCCCACTTTCCTCTGTGCGCTCCCAGGGCGTCCTGTTCGCCTTTGGGGGCCTGGGTCTGCGGAAAGGCGGTGGGGAGCAGGCCGTCCGGGGGAGGGGGCAGCCACTCCCCTCGCAATGCCACGTCTCCCTGTCGCCCCAGTTCCTGCGGCACCTGGTCCCTGGACCTCGCTTTAGGGTGAGTGTGGGTGGGGTGGGGTGGGGAGGGGAGGCTTGTCCGCAGAGTCCCCCCGGGGTCCGGGCGCTCCAGCCCCTGCTGCGGGCCGGGCAGCCTTACCTGAGGCCTGGGCTGGCATCGCTGCTGGCGACCCTCTGACCACCGAGCCCCGCGTCCGTCCAGGCGACGCCTCGCGCCCCGCGATGCCCGGCCGCCTCCCCCGCGGCACTGCGCAGCCGCCCTCGGCGGCCCATCGATTTTCTTGTTGACTTTGGGAATCTCATTAATCCCTCGTTAATTACCAGCCGGGGGCTCGGGTTCGGGCCCTGCAGCCAATAGTGTGGCGGCTGGACGGGCGGGCGGGGCCAGAGGCGGTGCTGGCGCCCGGGCGCAGGTCAGGGGAAGGGGGCGACCTTGTGCTGGAACCTGGCCTGGTGGGGGGCCCGAGACCGCCTCACCTGTGAGCCTTCCTCCTCTTCTCCCTGGTGCCTCCTCGTCCACCTGGTTCCAGACCTCTGACCCCTCGGCCTCCCTCCCTCCCACTCCCCAGCTCCTTCTGCGACAGAGGGCCTGTCAGGGAGGAACGGATGACAGAGGTCCGAGTGCCCCCCTCCTCGTGGTGAAAGGGCCCCAGTGTCCGTCCCCCTCCTCGTGGTGACAGGACCCTAGTGTCCCCCTCCTAGCCAGGGACAGGGCCTGAGTGCCCCCTCCTTGTGGTGACAGGACCCTAGTGTCCCCCTCCTAGCCGATGACAGAGCCCCAGTGGCCCCCTCCTTTTCACCAGAACAACCCTGCTTCTGCCTATGCTGTTATCCTAAAATATTTTGAGGGAGAAAATTTTCTCTTGCTTAAAAAAAAAGTTTACCAAGTCATAATTTGTGACCTTGGAGAAGCGCCCCTCGGGTCCCTGTTTCCTCGTTGTCAGGCGCTCTTGTATCCTCACCTTTTTGGTGTCATGGACACCTTCACAGAAATGAAAGCAGGGGGATGTCCCCCCATTAGAGGACAGGTCTGGCCTTCTTAGCTGCTCTCATCAAACCTGATGCCCTCACTCAACAGCTTCCCCGCCAGCTCTGTCCCCAACCCCCTCTCCTGAGACCGTTTCAGCTGGGACAGGTGAGATAAGCAGCTGGGACAAGGCAGTGAATCACTGGTTTATTGGTCCTCAGCTCTGGGGTCCCAGAACCGGCCAGAAGGTCTGAGATTGGAGCTGGCATTCAGCTCTTGTCTGGTCCTAGCGACACTGCTGGGAGAGGTCCTAAGGCAGGGTCACCTCCAGGGTGGCCCTAATGTCCCCGGATCCTTCTGGGGTGGCTGGACATGTCCTGATTGTGATTTTTAAAAGTCATCCGGGAAAGAGAGCGCGTACCCACGCTTCACGGAGCAGGCGGGAGTGGGTGGTGACCTGGATCTCACTGCCGAGAGGGGCTCTGAGTGGGTGCCTGACCGGCCCTGCCCACCGCGCCCCTGTCACTGTCATCAGGACAACACATAGACTTCTAGCAGGCTGGAGACGGCATGCATGCGGTAGAAGATGCCGAACGGCAGGCAGATGTTGACGATGGCGGCCCAGAGGGCATAGCCGTAGAAGTCGACCTCCACGGTGTTGCTGAAGTGCGGGCGGGCGCCGAAGGCGGGCATGACCCACAGCTGTGCGGGGAGAGGGACACTTCAGGGCCTGGCCGGACGGGCACCCCTGGGGCAATCCCTGTGGGCTTTGCTGGATGGAGGCAAGGCTGGGCCCTGCGCTTTCACTTGGTGGACATCAAGGGTTGGGTGTTACACCGAGGGGACCTCCAGTGTCCGAGACAGAGCCTGGCACTCATGAACGAGCGTGGGAAGTTGCACCCAAACCTTCCCACCCTAGAATGTGACCATATCTCCCACCTTCTTAGCGTGGCACATTCACGGGACATAGGAAGGAGACGAGGAGATTTTGATAGAGGATGTAGGAATCACTATAAAGACTGATCCCAGACACGCCAGGGCAGCATGTCCAAGGTCGGCCAGGTGCCCCCTCATCCCCCGACCCCTGCAATGTGCTCCATGCCTCCCTATCATGCCAAGGCTGAGAGAAGGGAGGTAAGGCTTGTATCCTGCTTCAGCTTTGAAACATGAGCAAAGAGCAAAGGCTTCTAAGTTTCCCTGGCCCCTGCACTCAGCTGTGTCCCCACGCACATCCCTGAGCCTCAGCTTCTGTCCTACAAAAGGGGTTGATATGGACACGCTTGGAAATGACCCCAGATTCCTTGAGCAGAACCACCTCTGGTAAGGTGACACTTGGAGTGATGGAGAGTGAAGGTGGGACCAGGAAATGGGGCACCAAAACTGGTCCAAGACGTGATGACGTTTGAAACCTTGCTGCTTCACTGAGGGTGAGGGATGGGTGACCACTCTTTTTTCTTTAAGCGAAACCGACTTTGGCGACTCCTGCCTGGGATTGTACCCCATCCCTAGGGAGCAGGACTGCAGAGGGTCTGCCTGTAGTGGTCACAGTGGGGGCTGCACTAAGAGGGCACCACTGTTTGCTGGTACATGTCATGTGGACCACATAGAGGGTGTAGCCATAACTGAGGACCTGTACTGGGGTGCACTTGCACTGAAGATGCTTCTGCAGTGGGTTATACTTTATGGGAGGTTGTAGCCAAGGGGACTTTTTATATTGAATCAGGTTGTCATGAGAAGGTTCTCTTGATCTGGGGGGCACCCACGTAAGAAATGCTTCTATACTAGCACTTTCACTCCAGCAGATTAAGTCTATGCTGGGGCCTTTCTGTGCTGGGTCTCTGCTACACTAGGGGTGCTTCTCTGTTGGGGTACACCTTCACTAAGAGTGTCTCTGCCTTGGGGTGTTTAAAAATGAGAGTTTTGGCACAAGGTGGGAGGCAGCCATGCAGACGACAACTCCCCTTCCCCATCGGCACCCCCCCTTCTCCCAGACACTCACACTTTCACTGTTCCCCGCTACTTCCTGAAGCTGCTCCAATTATTCTGAGAAGCAGGCAGGTCACAAGTTCACAGCAGCAGTCACACCTCCCAAGAGGGGACAGGGCCCCCATCAGCTCTCCCAGCTCCCTCTCACCTCCACCCAGCCTCCACACCAGCATTCCCAGGGACCCCAGAATCTTCATCCACTGCCTAGATACCGCAGGGTATCCGCTCTGAGTGCTGGGAGCCCGGGGGCTGCCCCTGGCCCTCTCTCTGAACCTCCTTCTTTCTTGGAGAGCTGGAAGGTTCTCCAAGGGGCTGAGGACAAGGTAGGGAAGGCTAGGTGATCAGTTGTGACAGAGCAGCTTTCTTGATGCCCCCCCTTCCCCTTCCTCACTCCCCCCACCAGCTACTCACAATGACATTGCAGAGCAGGAGAAACAAAGAAATGTCCTTCAGGCACCGACGTCTCCAGTGGCCTCGGGGGGCCAAGATGATGGCCATTGCTTCCTGGGGGCTTGCAGGGTGGGGATCCACCAGCCTGGGAGTGGGTGGGCAGGCAGGCAAGCTGTGCAGGGCATCCAGGTTGGCAAAAGTCAGGCCGTGGCAGGGCTCCTTGGGGGGCGTGGCCTGAGGTTCGTCCCCAGGTGGTCCCCGGTGGAGGCTCTCAATGATGAACACGTTCTGGAAGGTGTGCTGGGCGATGAGGAGCAAAGCATGGGCCAGGTTGAGGCCCCCCAGCAGGTCCCTGGGCAAGCCCACCACCACCGCCACAATGGAGTAGTAGGAGATGGCGTATTGGCCCAGGGCGGCCCCCATCAGCAGGGCCACGTCCAGGGTGCGTGTGGGGTTCTTGTGGTGGTCCATGGCGCGGCGGTCGAAGCGGTAGATGACTGAGCCGCCCAGGCTGACCACGGTCATAAGGCCCAGGCAGACGATGTTGAAGCTGTAGTAGAGGACCAGGGCCTGCTGGGTCTGGCCGCCCTCCCCACTCACTTGGACCTCATAGATGATGAAGACAGCCAGCCCCACCACGAAGAGCATCAGGCCCAGGATGGGGCCCGCGAAGAAGGTCTCCCGGAAGAGGCTGACCCGGGTGGGCGTGTGGCCGTGGCCGTGGGAGGAGGCCAGCAGCCGGCCCACGTTCTTCCACATGACGTAGAGCATGGTGGAGGCGAAGAGGCTGTACTCAATGTTGAAAGGATACAGGTAGAAATAGCCCTGCTGGAAGATCTGACACACGGCTGTGTCGCAGGGACAGGGCTCCCCTCCGACGGAGCTGCCTGCACGCTCCGCTGGGGACACAGGGACACAGGCTGAGCTGTCCTCCCATGGCCTGGCTGTGTCCCATCTGAAGAACTTCACCCCCTAGACTGTGCCAGGCCTCATCTGCCATATTCACCCGTGACCCCCAAACACATTCATTCCCTGCACACCAGAGGCTTTGGGACACATCATGGATAAGAACCAGCGCCTAGCTCAGGTGGCCTAGTGGTAAGAAGCTGGGCTGCAATCCCAAAGACATGTGGTTCAAGTTCACCAGCTGCTCAGTGGAAGGAGAATGGGAAATCTCCTCCCAGGCGCTTTACCGCCCCTGAAAATCCACTGGAGGGTCAGCTCTGACTTGACTGCACACAACCACAACAAGAAGTTTGAAAAAAAAATACTGAATCACAGAACCGCCCACTGCATCTCATTCCTGTTCTTGAGAAAAACACCCCCAGTACCAGCCCTGACCTCTAGCTCCCTAAGAAGGTCTGCTCTTATTAGACAAGAAGACCTGGAAACTCAGCATTAAAACACTTGGAACCAGCCAGCAGCCGGGAAATGAAAAGATTATTGCAATTGGAAAGTCTGCTGTTAGGGACTTCTCCAGGGTACTGAAGAGCAATGGTGTCATTCTGGAGACTAAGGTGCATCTGATCCAGATTAAGGTGCAATTACTTTCTATGCATCAGAGAGCTGGGCAATGACTAGGGTTGATAGAAGGAGAATTAATATCTTTGAGTGGTGTTGGAAAAGAGTATTGAATATACAATGGACTGCTAAGAAAACAAACAGTGGAGATTGTTAAGCCAGGCTGCTCTTTGGAGGCAAGGATTTTGAAGCTTCGTCTGACATTCTTTGGACATGTTCCAAGGAGGTCCTTGGAGAAAGACGTCATGATTGGGAGGGTGGAGGGACAGTGCTGGAGAGGAAGACCCTCTATGAGGTGGATTGAGTCAGTGACTGGGGTAATTGGGGTGGGTGTGTGAGAGATAGTGAGATTGGCACAGGATAGAGCAGGGTTTAGGGCTATTGCACACAGGGTCACTATGAGTTGCAAGTGAGTCAACGGCACATAACAACAACAACTAACTGATTGGTGGTGGTTCAAACCCACCGCTCACTCTTAAAGGAGAGAGATGTGGCAGTCTGCTTCCTAGGAGATTTACAGCCTTGGAAGCGCTCTGAGGAAATTCTCTGCTCTACTGTGATTGACTTGGTGACCTCAGGTTTGATTTGGTCCTATTAGAAGGTGTCCCTCTTGAGAAATCTTCAAGTTCAAGCTTCCTTGAAGCCCTGTGTCTTCTCTGCACAGAAAGTGAGCAGGTTCCTCCAGGACCCCGGTCACTTCAGTCCACCTCACACAATAAGGCATCTCATCTCACATCTGGACAGCACCTGGTAGACTGCCTTGGGCTCTCACAGATGTCTCTTTGGATCCCCAGAACTAACTCAGCTGGTCCTCCAGATGGAGACACTGAGACTCAGGTGGGGTGACTTGACTGGGAGGGACACAGCAGTTGATGGGTTCATCATACTCCTGACCTTTGGGCCTGCTGACTAATGCTTAACTTACTCCACCACCCACAGCCCAAAGTAAGCTTGCCTCTGCTGTGTTGGTTCGGGCTCAAGGTGCCCTCTTATGGGGTTCCCAAGGCTGCGAGTCTTTTAAGGAAGGACACTACCTTCTCTTTCTTCCAAGCAGAGGTGCTGCGTCCGCACTGTCAGGCTTTGAGTCAGCGGCCCTATCACCGCACTATCAGGGCTCAGTAAATGTCCTGATTGCCACCATCGTTGTTAATTCTCTCTCCCCAAGTTCTCCTCGTCCGACCCATGCTTCCTTCTGCCATTGAATCACTCTGTCTCTCTCTCCTTTCCCTCCAGTTTTATCACCCTCGCCCTTGCACCAAGCTGCTTCTTTAGAGGGCTGGAGACCTGGCTAGTGGAAGCGGGACCAAGGACAATTGTGATATTCCCTGGTACTCCTTCCTGAGTCACCTGTATCTATGCATTTTCAGAGGTGACGCCTTGAGCAGGAGGGGACCCCAGTCCTGCCTGTGCCTCCATGACCTCATGAAGCCAGGGTTAGCCTTGGGGAGGGACTCACGGTCAAGGGTGAGGCGGCCATGGCTGGCGTTGCTGTGGGAGCTGCCGTAGGAGTGGGCTTGGTGGACAGATTCATCTACGACGGCCGCCATCCAGATGGCCAGGTTGGTGGTGAGCGTGAACATGAGACCACACCTGTACAGGGAGGGAGAGGCTTTGGGTCGCAGTGGGTACCCGGCAAGGTGCAGGGCTGGGGAGCTATCCTGAGAGGTGGGATTGAGAATTGAGAGGGCAGGTGGGTTTGGAATGAACATGGGTTTTGGAATGGCCAGGATGTGGGTCACTGTTGACTGTTGCTTGGTGGAAGACACAGTCCGCTGCACAACCACCCTCCCAAAATGTATGCGCAAACCCAGGCGTCCCCCTCCACGCCCCCTCCCCAGGGCTGATAAAGCAAGGTCTACTCAGTTGGACACCTCTCAGGATGCAGAAATGGGGTCCATGCCCTCCTCTTCTGCAGGCTGACTGGGGCCTGGTGCCCACACTGAGCTGTGACAAGGCACTCACCGGGTCAGGTCCAGGTGGGCATGGATGCAGTCTTTAGCAGAGACCCAGAGAAAGTAAGTCTGTATTGAGAGAGAATGGTGCCATTAACCGAGTACCAGACTAAGCCTGGGCAGCACACAGATCCACGCCCAGTACCGAGTCCTCTCTACCGAAGAGCTTTCACTGTAAGTTGCAAAGTTTATTTTGCCTTATGACACGTGATGGGGAGAATCCTTTCTATTTCAGAACAGTTCCTAGAAGTAGAGTCTCTGTTTTTAAAGTTTTGCAAAAAAGTCACCTGCAAATCTATCTGGTCATAGTGCTATGTTTTGATTTTATTTTGGCGGCAAGAGGTTAAGTAGAGTTTTTTACTACAGAATCACCTCCCCCAAGAGGAAGTGACACTAGGTCTTGCGTAAAGTAAAGAGAGTCTAGTGACTTCTCGCCTCCCTCACACAACTTCTCCTGTCCTCTCTCCCCTGTGAGGTTTTGCTACCCTCCGGCTGCCAGTAAATTCCAGCTTTGGCATTTGTGTTCATGTGCATTGTCTGTATTTTAATTTTACCTGCACTTTTTAGAATAAGTGTAAAAGGCTAGGACTAGAAATGGCATCATCATAAACGTGTTGACTGGGCAGCTGGGGTGATGTTTCAAGAGAGGGTAGCTCACATGTCGTGACTCTGGTCACCATATTGGGCTGTGGTCTCTTCTGGCTGCACGTAAGACTAAAGGTCAGATGATCTTTCAAAGTGCTGCTTATCCAGAAAATAAACAATATGTGTACTTGAACTTTTGGAAGAAACCCCAAATACAAGCTATTCTCCTCCCAAAGACGGATACCATCTGTGGGCACCCAAGGAGGCAGGCTAGCTTCCAGGAGAAAATAAACAATATGTGTACTTGAACTTTTGAAAGAAAACCCAAATACAAGCTATCCTCCTCCCAAAGACGGATACCGTCTGTGGGCACCTGAGGAGGCAGGTGACTACCACACCTGGCACCCATGACACCTTAACTGCTTAGGTGGAAATAAAAGCACAACCTTCCTAAGCAGGAGCTCACATTTGGCCTTTGCTCCATTGCTAAGTCCTCCGGAATAATCTACTCCCCCTTCAGCCCCCTCCCCACGGTACCTAATTCCTCAAGGTGGGAGGGGGTCTGGAGCTCAGGTCTCCCATCCACCACTCTCATGGCCACCAATCCCCCCACCCACCTGGACGATGACAAAAACAGCCTGGATGATGGGGTGCAGGATCTTGATGGCTGACTGGCACTCAAAGAAACTGGAGTAGTAGCCGGTCTTGAAGACATCCATGACGAGAGTGCAGATGCCAAACAGCACCAGTCCGCCTGGGAATCAGTGGGGAGGTGAGAAAAGCCGAAGAGAAGGAGGCATATGGATAGAGCGGTCCTTCTTAGGGGCCTTGAGGAGGGATGGCTAGAAAGGTGGATGGAGGAGTGAGGAGCTGGATGGTAGTGTGGATGTGAGTTGGTGTGAGACTGGATGGGTTCAGAGATGGATGGATGGATGGGGTTTGTGAACGAGTGGGCTCCTATCGAGCCCCATACACACACCGATTTGACACCCTACCTAGACTCAGTCAGGCCTTTATTCACTGCTCTCCACCAAAGTTCTTCCTAGCATGATCGCGGGCGCTTCTCTAATGCATAGACAGGCAAAGTCCCTTCCGCTCTTGGGTTCATCCCTCCTCCCGTTTTTCTCTTGGCCAATCACAGCCCATCTCGCCACGCCACATCCAATCCGCCAGAGGGAACTTCCCACCCCTCTACCTCGACGGGCACGGCTCAGCTCCTCTGCGCGTTCCAGTGTCCCCCCCTCCCCATGCCGCCCCCACGTCCCCAGCACCTCGGAGCCAGATGGGGCCTGCGTGCGTGTCGCGGTAGGGGACGGCGTCTGGGCAGCGCGCCGTGCGCAGCAGGTAAAAGAGGATCCAGAGAGCCGCGGCCAGCATCATGGTGGTGAGCAGGGCAAACACGTCGGTGTCATACACGGCCACCTTGTTGAAGGCGCCGCCGCTGATGAGCGTGCAGGCCAAGAGCAGCACGTTCACGGCCAGCAGCACGGACAGCAGGCGGCCGCCCTTCTTCCACACCTCGCGGGGGGCTGGCTGTGGGGCCGGAGGGCCCTCCTTAGGACCCTGGGCCAGCTCCTCGGACATGGTCAGGGCGGCTGGAGAAGGTTGGAGGGGTCACTGCAGGGAGGACACACAGCATCCCAGGTCAACTCATGGCGCTCCTTCCCCCATCTTGTCCCCAGAAATGAGGACCAGGTAACATTCCCCAGGTAATGGAGGCTCAGGTGATGGTGGTGGAGGTCCTGGGCCAGGGGGGAGGGAAAAGCTAGGGCACCCGTCCACAGGAAGAAAGAGGGATGGTGGCCCCTTGGAGTCCTTCTGCCCTCGGCACAGGCACCCACCTGGCTGGCCCGGGAGCCTGGACGGAGCTGGGGGCCAGGGACTGGTGAGAGCTTCCTCTTTCCGACGCAGGGCTGGCCGGGCACTTTATACCCGGGTGGACAGGGTGATTTACAGCCGCGGGCGGGCAGGCAGCTCGGCTCCATAAACCCCTCAGTCCTGCTCACATGATCCATCTCCCTGAACTGAATTTAGGGAAGCGCACACGGGAGTCAGATAAGGCGAGATTTATATTTATCTGTCAAAGAGTTCCCCCCCTCCCCGCCTGGCACCCCAGCGGTGCCAGGCTGAGGCGCGGCCCGCACTGCGGCACCCAGAGGACACCCTGCCCTGGGGTAGGGCCCTCAGGGGGTTCCAGGGGTCCAGCACCCCCCCGGAAGCTCGATGGACACAGTGTGCCCCCAAACCTTCTTCCAGCCCTGGCGCCCCCAGACCTCCTCTCCGCCGCTGCCCTGAGGCTGGGACCCCGTTTCTCTTTCTCCGACGGCCCTCTGAGCGGTCCAAGTTTGTCCTCGGTCCACTGCGCTCTCTGCCCCACGGGATGCTGTGAGGCGGGGATGCTGTGAGGCGGCTCTGGGTACCAGCTTCCCACGGCGCGCACCTGCCCGCGGGCGCCCCCTGTCGGGACGCGGCAGCACACCGCGCGCGCCTGGCTCTCCAGCCTCAACCCGCTCGCTGCCTCGCCATGCGTCCTCAAGTCTCTGTCAAGTCCACTCCGCTGGGACAGGACAGCCCTCCACTCCGCCCTCCGCGTCCTTTGACGGGTGGAGATTGGAGGTCGCAGAACCGGGGCTCTTCAAAGGACGAACGCTGAACCATCCCCAAGAAGGTCCCTAGCTGCCACCAGGAGACTCTGGGCTGTGCGCTTCTGGAGAGAGGTCAAGGTCTCCTGTGGTCACCCTGCGCACCCAGCCCCTGGGGTTTAGGACCCAGGAGACGCCGGGGCGGCGCCCTGACCGCGCGCTCCCCCTCCCCCTCCCCCCTCGAGCGGCTCAGATGTCCCCCGGCGGCCACTCTGGGCTCCACACCCTTATCTGCTTCGGGGGCTGGCGCCCCGGCTCTGCCCAGGCCCCTCCTCCAGCCCCATGCCCCAGCCCTGACCCCGCCGCCCTCCCCCGCGGGGGGCTCGCCCCGTGCCCCCGCCGGGCACCATGAACGACCAGTACCACCGGGCGGCCCGGGACGGCTACCTGGAGCTGCTCAAGGAGGCCACCCGGAAGGAGCTGAACGCCCCCGACGAGGATGGCATGACCCCCACCCTCTGGGCTGCCTACCACGGCAACCTGGAGTCGCTGCGCCTCATCGTGAGCCGCGGGTGAGCCCCCCGCCCCGAGCCCGAGCGCGCGTGGAGGGGAAAGAGTCCCGTGCTGGTGAAGCCGACCCCCTTCCTTCTTCCCGTGAGCTTCCAATGTCCCCACACAGCCTCACGGGGACCTAAGGCCTGACAGGTGTGGGGGCAACAGGGAGAGAAGTGCGCAGGTGACACTTCTGACTTGGAAGTGGGACTCGAGAAGAGGGTGTGGGGTTTGGGGCTGGGTGTTAGGGGCTGGCAGAGAGGGGAAAGCGGGGAAGGCCTCCTGCGGATGGGGCTTCTGTAAGCTGGGGTGACCAGAACCTGGGAGATGGAGGAGAAGCTTTACAGGCTAAGTGGGGGCTGGGCAAAGAGGGGTTTCTCTGAGCAGCCCCCCTCCCCGCCTCAGCACCCACACCTCCCGCGCCAGGGCCTCCTAGACCTTTCCCTCCACTCAACTCAACTTATTTTTGAGATTTATGGGCACTGTCCACAACACCAAATGTCATCAGGTCAGCCACGCCATTAATGCCCCCGTGCCTCTCCCCCACTGCTGGCCACAGTCATGCCCCCCCTTCAGAGCTGTCCTTTGGGAAAGGGCAGGTCAGGGCCAAGGAAGGGGTCTGCAAGTCACTGCTGAAAAGTGCCTGGCCCGGGAAGTGGACTCTCTGCATAAATCCCCCTGTGCACTGCTGACCTCAGCAGCTTTGTGAAGAGGAATCAGGTTGAAGTGGGCACCAGGTGGGCTAGAAAGGGAGACGGAGGGGTAGTGGTGAGGACGGGCAGGGCTGGCCCTGATGGTGGGTCCTGGCCTGAGGCATGATGGGTAGACACTCCTCTGACCATGCCCCCCCCGTTATTCTCCAAGTCTGCCTCTGGGTCCCCCCCCAAGACAGGTCACCAAGAGCCATGCTCCAAGCCTGGCCTTCTCCACCTCATGTGGACCCACAGGGATCCCCCGCTCTCTGACTCTCCCCAGACTCATGGGAGAGGGAAAGAGGGTGTACCCTCCAATCCTTGCAGCAGACAAGGACTGGTGCTTGATGGGGTGTTGGCCAGAGGCAAGCAGCCCCTCCTCACATCATCTGCAAGACTTGGGGCCTAGGAGAGGAAGCTGAGGGGTGTGGGGAAGCTGTGGACAAGGGAGTGATTCTTCCCAGCCCCAGGGGGTGGCCTTGTGGCCTCATTAATGCCAGCAGGGACAGTGCTGAGCCAGGCTTCTGAGCCTGGAGGAGGGAGCTTCCGGGTGTCCGCCAGCTGGAGACTGTCCTGGGGAAACAGTCTGGTGTGGAGTGCGTTAAAGGGAGCTGGGTGAGGACCCCTGCGCAGCCTATACCCGCCAGCCTCAGAGCCCCGGAAGGAGGACAGCCCTGGGAGGGAGGGTGGCTCAGCTGGACACACCCGACTTCCACCTCCTCCTCTCCGGCCCTGGCTGCCCCCACAGTCCCCTTCAGGCCCAGGCCAAGACCCGACACCTACTCTCACACGCGGGCTTGCCAGGCCTGGCCCCGCTCCCTGCGACATGGGCTGGGCTGCGACGTGTGAGCCTGCACCCTGATACCCTCAGAGGGAGCGCAGGCCCAGCACACAGCACCTCTCTGGGTGGGGGACACGCATGGCCGCGGAGCACACAGCCACACTCACCACCACGCCAGCCTAAGACCCACAAGCGGCCCTGGCCCACCACCTCTCCGGGCCAGCTCCCCACCGGGGCCCCATGAATAATTCACTCCTTTCTCTCTGGACATCAAATATTTATGCCCTGAGATTCCCAGCCCTCGGGCGCCTGGAGAAAGCCCCGCCCTCTCCCCGCCCCTTGCCAGTCCCCGCCCCTTGGGCGCCTGTGGCCTTTTCCCCTGGGCTCTTTTGGTCCTTTTGGACACCTGCTACCCCTAGGGAGAGGTCTCTGTCCTCGCCCAGGCTGAGCACCTGGCCGCCATCAACTTCCCCCATGTCCTCCCTGCAGGGGCGACCCGGACAAGTGTGACATCTGGGGCAACACGCCCCTGCACCTGGCAGCTTCCAATGGCCACCTGCACTGTCTGTCCTTCCTGGTGTCCTTCGGGGCCAACATCTGGTGCCTGGACAATGACTACCACACGCCACTGGACATGGCCGCCATGAAGGGCCACATGGAATGCGTGCGCTACCTGGACTCCATCGCGGCCAAGCAGAGCAGCCTCAACCCCAAGCTGGTCGGCAAACTCAAGGACAAGGCCTTCCGCGAGGCGGAGCGGCGCATCCGCGAGTGCGCCAAGATGCAGCGCAAGCACCACGAGCGCATGGAGCGGCGCTACCGGCGCGAGCTGGCCGAGCGCTCCGACACGCTCAGCTTCTCCAGCCTCACCTCCAGCACCCTGAGCCGCCGGCTGCAGCACCTGGCGCTGGGCAGCCACCTGCCCTACTCGCAGGCCACGCTGCACGGCACCGCCCGCGGTAAGACCAGGATCCAGCGCAAGCTCGAGCGGCGCAAACAGGGCGGCGAGGGCACCTTCAAGATCTCCGAGGACGGACGCAAGAGCGTGCGCTCGCTCTCGGGCCTGCAGCTGGGCAGCGACGTGATGTTCGTGCGCCAGGGCACCTACGCCAACCCCAAGGAGTGGGGCCGCTCCCCGCTCCGGGACATGTTCCTCTCCGACGAGGACAGCCTCTCCCGTGCCACGCTGGCGGCCGAGCCAGCCCACTCCGAGGTCAGCACCGACTCAGGCCACGACTCCCTGTTTACCCGGCCTGGTCTGGGCACCATGGTCTTCCGCCGGAACTACCTGAGCAGCGGGTTGCAGGGCCTGGGCCGCGAGGACGGGGGCCTGGACGGGGCGGGCAACCCGCGGGCTCGGCTGCAGAGCCCACCAAGCCTGGACGATGACAGCCTGGGCAGTGCCAACAGCCTGCAGGAGCGCAGCTGCGCGGAGGAGCTGCCCTGGGACGAGGTGGACTTGGGCTTGGACGAGGACCTGGAGCCCGAGACCAGCCCACTGGAGACCTTCCTAGCGTCGCTGCACATGGAAGACTTCACGGCCCTCCTGCGCCAGGAAAAGATCGACCTGGAAGCGTTGATGTTGTGCTCTGACCTGGACCTTCGGAGCATCAGCATCCCGCTGGGGCCACGCAAGAAGATCATGGGGGCAGTGCGCAGGCGGCGGCAGGCGCTGGAGCGCCCACCCGCTCTGGACGACACGGAGCTGTGAGTGTTGCAGCAGGGACAAGGTGGGAGGGGCGGAAGCCCACATTACATTAAATCAACGCCACCGCCAATGCCAGAATGCACCATCAAGTCAGGGAGGGAAAATAGCCCACAGAAACCAAACCAGAAACCACCACTTGGCTGTTGCGTTGGAATCATCTCTTAACTGACGGGGAGAAGACTGTCCACCTTTCTCTCACTGAGCTTCAGATGAATTCCAACCTCCAGAGACACGCAGCCTTTGCGCTAACAATGCAGCTCCCTACAGCCTGAGCCCCCCTGGTTCCCTAAGTCGGAAGAAGCAGCTTCCAATTTAACTACAATAGGGCTTTCTTGTCATAAACAAAACCAAAACCCAACCCACAACCAGGCCGCGGAGTTAAGTCCACCTCCCAGCGACCCTACAGGACAGAGCAGAACCTCCCCATGGGGTCCCCGAGGCTGCACCTTTAGGGAAGCAGTTGGCTTCACCCTTCTAGCACTAGTGGACGGAATGGACACTTTGGTCAGCAGCCCAGCCCTTAATCCGCTGTACTATTAGGACACCTTCCTATCGCAGTGAATGCAAATGCACCTCTATTTTGGCGCTATGAAAATGTGGACAGTGGGGTCCCTGGCACTGATGAGCTGTGATAATCACAATAATCCCCTCTAAGCTGGTTTTGAGCCCTCCCACCTCTCCAGTGCTGTCGTCTCATTTAATACTCCCAGCTCCTGGTGCGGTGGGCCGTCCCATCCCATTTTACAGATGAGGAGGTGGAGGCCTGCAGGGTTAGAGTGACTCTGCTCACCTTCCTGCCAGGGCTCAGAGTAGAGTTAGAGTCGGGATTGACCACTGGTCTGTGTAACTCAAGGGCATCTCACAGGGTACCTCTAATGAGATGTGGAAGTGGCAGCCAGATGGTCACCCCTTTGCCCAGGCCTTCAAGGCAGGTGTTTTACCTGCTATCCTTTGAACCACACAACCAGAGGCATAAGGAAATACCCTCAATGGAGGCTTTGAGAGCAGAGTTGTCACATTTAAAAGCCATCAAAGGTGACCCCGACCATGCTGTTGGCTGAATCTTGCCCCATCCCTGGACGTCAGCTGTGGTTTTAGCTGGTCCCTCCCTCTTGGTGACCCACAAAGTCGGGAAAGCACTGTTTCCCTTTGATGTCTGTGGGCTCTACCCTGGAGACGGGGCAGGTGAGGGTGTCCTAGGTTAGAGTCTGGGGCACAGGAGGTCCCCACCAACTGCCAAGGGAAATGAGACAGTCATCACAACATCGTCTCTCATCTGTAGTGATGCTAGAAGGCCTCACCTAACCTCTCTGTTGTCTTCCTCCACAGGTAACGGGGGACCCCCCACCCCAGACCAAATGAATTGCGAGTTGCCACATCCCACGGTGGGCCTGTCAGGTCCCCAGTCGCCAGCCCTGCAGCCCCTGCAGCCCCTTCTCCTGGAGCAAGGCCACGTGTCATCACCTTTGAAAGCCTGCCACAGCCTGCAGCAGAGGGTGGCCTACGGCACCCCAAGGGGCAAAACATCACTTCTGAGGGGTCCAAATGAGCCACCTCCCTCTGAGGGGTCAAAGGGGCCATGTGGAAAGTCAGTCCCAAGGGGCAGGGCCATAGCTGGAAGAGCCAGAGGGACACAGCTGTCCCCACCACCTCCCAGTGTTCAGGCTGGGGATTTGCCCTCCTGGACTTCCTGAAGGGAAGAGTTTGGACTGTCTCCCCTGGGTCTCTTGAACTCATCTCCCGCCCCCCCGCCCCCCCGAGAGAGGGTTGGCCAGACTCTTCAGCCAAATGCCCTGAACTTCAGAAAGTCTCCTACCCTGAACTTGGCCATCCTCTCCTTCCCCACCAGCCTGGCTGGAGCTGCAGTGCCAGATAGGGTGCAGTGAGGTGACCTGCCCAGCTCATCCTCTCCAGCCCGTCTTCCTTCAGACCCCTTAGTTCTGCAGCCTGGACCTCCAGGTGTACTGGGACCAGGGCGATAGACCCCAAGTGCTAGAACAGGTCTACAGTATTACGTCCCATGCTGGGCATTTGTCTCTGGGCTGGAGAACCCAGCAGTCTCTGGGCTGCTACCAAGTGCCTCAGTGTCACCTGGCCCGAGATGGGCAGGAGCTGGGAGTGGGGTCTGGAAAGTCCTTTGAGGTGGATGCAGGAGGGGTCTGAAGGTGTGGGTTCTCTCTCTGCTGAGTGTACCCAGGTCCAGAGGTGGGTGAGCTGGAGTGTCTGTGTTGAGGGGTGGTTGACAGGTCTCCCTCCAGGTCTGGAAGGGGCTGGGCTGCTGTGAGACTGCCTGACTCCACCTGAGTTCACCTGCTTAGGTGACATCATGGGGGACAGATGTGTCCAGTCAGACCTAAGTGGGAGACTCACTCAGGGCTCTGACACACATGTGTACAAGTCACACCCTCCACCTCTGTGCCCATCCTCCTCATCCATCTGCCTGGGAAGCAGCACCCCTGGGAACATTGCCTCAGATCTAGCCTTTCCTGGGCTGCATTGATGGGGAGAAGGAACCCCACTAAACCCCACAGACCTCCTGCTGGCCTGTCTCAGATGCCTTCCCGGAGACACCTCTATGGGGATTTACACACACTCCCAGAGCGGGGGGGCGGGGTGGGGAAATGTGGGGGGGGTGAATGAGGGGGTCCATTCCCTGTCACAGGCTGCCTGGCTGCCTGCCACTGCCACCTGGAGCCAATCCAGGCTTTTTCCCTGTTCTCCACACCTGGGGCCACCCTAAGTGCCGATTGTCTTTCTCAGTGGCCCAGGTGCTGCCTGCACACACACACTCACCCCCGCCTGCGTCCCCACTGCTATACAAGGGACCCCTCCCTCAGCCTCATTATAATGGTCTACATCATTGCCTTGACCGCTGCTTGTTCTTTCGTCATTTAGAGGGGAAGGGGGAGGGTGGGAGTGGCGAGGTCTTCTCTGGGCCTGTAAGAACATGACCTGCTCCTTGGATGGGTTTTGGGATGGAACACTGGGCAGGACCCTCCTCCCCCTCTGCATTTCTGCAGGGTCCCCCTCTGCATTTCTGTAGGGTCCTTCTTCATTCCCAGACCTTCAGTCTGACTTGTCCAGCTCAGGATTAGGGGTTGATGGAGGAGAGAGTTAAGAACTAAGTTCCTAGCAGTTGAGCCAAGTGGGTGGTCTTGTCTCTGGTCCCATCTTTCTGCCTTTGGTGCCTCCCACCCAGGCAAGATGTTTGGGCTTCTCTAGGGATAGGCCAAAGTCCAGGCCTGCCACATCCCAGGGCTGCCACTCTGTCCCCAGGCTGTGGGTCTATGGGCCCTGTTCCCAAGATCATGACGTGCTCTGGACCTCACCTGTGGCTTGTCCCTAGAGAGCTGAGATAGGTGCAGTGGTTAAATGCTCGGTTGCCAGTGTGAAAGTGGGTGGTTAGAATCCCTCAGCTGCTCTTCAGAAGAAAGATGTAGTGATCTACTCACACAAAGATAACAGCCTTAGGAACCCAATGGAGCAGCCGAACCGGACAAGGTTGCTAGGAATGGAGATCGACTTTGGTTTTTTAGTTTCTCCCAGGCTCCTCAAGCTGATGGACTTGGTTTTCAGTCAAGGCCAGGAAAGGGTCCTGGGGAATTTCTATTCCCTAGGGTACTAGACCAGGTGCTTTTGATGTAGGTGTTCAAGAGAGCCCCCTCCTGGAAGCATCAGTCAGAAAGGTTCCCAGGATGCCAGTGGATGAAGGTTGCCTAGCAACCATCTTGGTCCCCTCCCTCCACTTTATAGATGGAAAAGCCGAGGCCCAGAGGTGGAAAGGGGCTTATCCAAGCAGGACCAGATGCAGAGCACAAGCTCTCCTCACTGCCAGGCTTCCTGGAGTCTTCTTGCAATCCACAGCGTTTAGCAGCCCTACTACCTACCCCTGCTGGCCATTCTGGTTATTGCACCTACCTCTTGAAAAACTTCCAAGTCTCCTCGCTGGTCCAGGGAAGGACATGAGGGCCAGGCTGTCAATGACAAGACAGAGGAGATGGAGATTCAGCTTGGAGGGAGAGACAACGGGAATCAGCAGGACCAGGGTCTCCGATGGGCCACTGGAGCTTGAGGGTGGAAGCCTGGAGCATCAGAAATAACAGGCAACTCAGGTGGCCTTAATGGTCAGGAATGATGCTGCCAACACAGAGCTGCGTGGGTGAACCCACCAGCTGCCCTCAGGGAGAAAGAGGAGCAGTCTCCTCCCATGTGATTTGCTGCCTCTGAAAACCCACTGGAGGGTCAGCAATGGGTCAGTTCTGACTCAACAGTACACGACCGCCACCAGAAAGGTGATGAGACTTGAAACACAAGCAAAGGGAGGATTTTTCACACTGTAAGGGCTCTGTTTCCTCCACTCACTCCCTGAACACTTGGATAGAAAACTTTAGAATAAGTCTTGATGGTTTAGTGCATCATGTTATGAAAAGGTTACTTGTTCAAATCCACCAGCCTCTCTGGGGAAAGATGAGGCAGCATCTTCTAATAAAGATATGGGAAAGGGAGCTCTGGTGGCCTCATGACAAGAAGCTGTGCTCTAATCCCAAAGGCTTGCTGTTCGAATCTACCAGATGCTCCACTGGAGAAGGCGGGGCAATCTCCTCCTGTGCCAGTAGGATCCTATTTGATGGTACACAACAAAAAAGAAAAAAACATATGGAGAGTCCCCTGAGTCTGTGCAGACCTGAGGGGAGTGGGTTTGATTTGATTTCTTCACTTTTTGAGGGTGGTTGTGTTGTTATGTGCTGTTTACGGCTCATAGCGACCCTATGCACAAGAGCTCCGAACCCTGCCCTGTTCTGAGCCAGTCTCACTGTCTCCTACCTACTTGCCCTCATTACCCCAGTCACTGTGTCAATCCGTCTCATCCAGGGTCGTCCTCTCCTGCGCCATCCTCCACCTTCCAAGCACAATGTCCTTCTCCAAGGACTGAACGGTCCCTCCGGCCAATATGCTCAAAAGATGTGAGACTGAGCTTCAAAATCCTTTCCTCCAAGGAACAACTTGGTTTCTCCCTCTCCAGGACAGACCTGTTTGTTCTCCTGGCGGTCCATGGTATGTCCGGCACCACAACTCAAAGGGTTAGAAATCTGGTCATAATATAGTCCCTTGCTGTCAAGTCAAGTCCTTTTCATAACCGTCCTGTAGAGAAGAGCAGAACCACCCCCCAGCGCTTCCACGGCCGCCATCATCACAGAATCAGGCTGCTACGTCCTCCTCCAGCACATCTGTGACACCTTCTCTGAGGTAAGTCAAGGTTTCATGGAGGTGACAATGCCCAGAGGGGGAGGGAGCTGGGCAGTGACACTTGTCCCATCCCTTTTCAGCTCCGTAGCCTGGGGTGTTTTCCAGCCTCTCTGCGTCTACTCCTCCTGTAAAATGGAATTCTAATGAAAGCATCAACCCCATAGATTATCATCAGCACATCATGATAACATATAAAAACCCTTGACACACTGCCTGGTATTTGTGGGCACCAGTTAACAATGGTCACGTTTACAGTTGGCCCAGGCCAGTGGACAAGTGGGCTCTCCCTCCCTCAGTGAACAGTGAGCCATTCTTGCAGGTATCACTGCAGGCCACCAGGGGGTGCTGACGGTCCGGCTAGTGGCCAAAGAATCAACCACAGCCTGAGATTTCATCACAGGACTCCCCAGGAGGCCAGAGCCGCTCCCAGGGTGCCTAGGAGGAGTATCAGACCTATTCCCCTCCAGGCCCCCATTATAAAGTTTATTGAAAGTTTCCCCTCCTCCAGTAGGTATAGGGAGATGAGGGGTTCTGAGCTCCATTTCATAGATGAAGGCAGTGAGTCTCAGAGAACTTCAAAGATATTCCTAAGATCTCACACCATTAAGTGAAGGAAATTTTTGGCATTAGGTTACCTGACCTGGGCCCTGGGACAGCACTCCTCTCCAGGAACGAACTCTCAAGTTTTTACTTAAAATTACTGAGAGTTTTTAAAAGGTAACAGGCCCTCAGCCCAATGGCAGAACACACAATAGCCTCAGCCCTCTAAAGTAAGCACCACAATATCAGCATCACCCTCATTTTACAGCTGGGAGAGGCTCAGAGCAGATCTGACTTGCCTGAGGTCACAGAAGATGAACTGGGCGGATGAACCAGGGCTCAAAACCAAATTTCCTCGATGCAGAAATGTCTGTGCTTAACGCTATGCTCTCCCACCTCCCCACCCCCACTGCCACCAACGCTGTACCCTTCGGTGGTGGTTTTCTTTGATCTTGAGTTGCCTTGACCTGGGCATGTGCTGGAGCAGCCTGGGGTGGGCGAGGCCTTGCTGACAGCTCTAGCAGTGTCCAAGCACGGAGTGTGACCCATAGTGCCCACCTGCTCTGGGGGTGCTGGGTGGGAGAGAAGTTGCTGAACAGGATGCTGGAGGTGGTCTGAGAGGATGCAGAGGTGTGGTCTGACCAGGGAGGACCATTTCCCTGCCCTGTTCCCCTCTCCCAGCCTCTCTGTCTTTCTCTGCCCTATTTCTCCCTATTAATCTGGGTCTCCCACACAGCTCCCCTTCTCTTCTCCTTCTCTTCCTCCTCCTCTTCACTTTGAGGGAACTCTTAAATTCCCAGGAGCACACTTTGAAAATCACAGTTGGAGAGATGCCGTGGAAAACAAGGAGTCCAAAGACCTGAGTTCAAATCCCACATCTGTCACTACGTAGCTGTTCTGTCTGTATTTCCTTTTCCATGGGAAGAATGGCGAGGCAAACACCTTCCTGTGGGCCTGTGGACTAGGTGTCCAGAACAGGCCTCCGAGCCACGCCTTTCCTTGACCATGGCAATGCTGACCACAGCCCAGGTCCAACTTCACATGACTCAGTCCTCAGCACAGGCCTGAGGGGAGCCATTTCTCTGATTTCTGTTTGTCCAGTAAGGAAACCGAGGCACAGAGCTGTCTATAAAATATGCCCAAGTCACGTTGCTGGGAGTGGTGGAGTCATAATTCAAGTCTTGACAAGCTGGCTCCCTGCGGGATCTTTGTGGGTGTTTACAGTGAGATTTCAGTTCATCCTTATGGTAGCCCAGCACATGGGGATTGTCATACCCATTTGACAGAATGGAACACTGAGGTCTAGGAGGACTAAGTCATTGCTCAGGTTCACACGACCAGTAAGAAGACAAACAAGACAGTCTTTCTGACTCTTCATGACTGCCTTTCAGTACTCTGAGTCCTCCCTTGGTTTTTATTGTTGCATGACTAATCCTCAGGAGGTGTGGAACGTGAGGAGGGGAGACTTCTGCAAAGTCCTTTTCTAAAAAAATGTCCTTCCTTCTTTTAAAGCCCAGGAGAGACTGTGGTGAGGCCCTCACTCCTGACTACAAGTTTACCTGGACTCTGGGGAGCCCTTGGGTCGACTCTTTTGAAGTTGTGGTCAGTAAGAGGCCTCCTCTCCCTCTGGAAAGCTTCGCCCTGGCAGCCTGACCCCTGGAAACGGAACAGCAGGCAGTGGGAGCCCTGGTGAGGTGGGGTCTCTTAGATACGGGGAGGTGCCACAGCCACAGCTGGCCAAGTCAGGCCCTGACCCCACCATCCTGACAGGGCTCTCTTAAACCCGAAAGACCAACTCAAACTGATTACTGTGGAGCTGGAACTGACTCACAGCGGACCCGCGAGCGGATTTTCAAGCTGTAAATCACACGAGAGGAGATTGCACATCTTTCTCCCAAGGAGCCGCTGGAAGATTGGAACTTTCAGGGAGTCCACACCTTTGGTTAAGCAGCCCGACTCCTTGTGGACAACTCCCCCCAGAGCACCCTCGGGGCTCCCTTAATCCCACCACCCCTCTTCCTTGTCTCTCTGGTCCTCACAATATCATCTGAAGTGGGCTTGGACAAGAACCTGGAGCGGAGTTCAGGAGTTCAGGGGCCTGATGATGAGGCAGGAGGCAGCTGACCCGGACGTCTAGTCCGCCCAGTCCAGCAGCCGGCTTCCAGACACGTCTGAGTGCCTTCTAAGTACCCATGCAGCAGACCCCAGGAGCACAGCACCACTGCCCTGGCCCAAGAGTTATGAGATCCACCTGAAGGATTTCTCCAAGCTCCTGACCACACAAACAGCAAGGCTGGGAGGTTTAAACTAGGCCTTTGATCTGAGATTTGAACTGCTGGCAGCCCCTGCCTCCTGTCACCCTCTAGGTCAAGTCACCTCCCCCGGCTGTCACCTGGTACACTGCCCCCTGCCCTCATCCCCAGGCCATGAGCAGGGGCTCAGGTGGCAGGCTGTGAGACAGGGGACTCTACTTCCTCCAGCCCTGTGTTCCTCTCATTCACTTTCCTGTGCTGTGTATGGCCTGGGAGTGCGAATGCAGGTGTGTGCAGGTGTGTGCAGGTGTGTGCAGTGTGAGATGAGGGCTCGGGGCTCCTGGGTGAGGACGTGTGTGTCTGTGTGCGCCTGGCGGGGCCCAGAACCTTCCTGGAAAGCTGTGTCCATGTGCGAGCTGTTTACCTTGACTTCGCTCATTTGTCTGCTTTCAGGCTTCTGAGTGAGAAATTGCGCCTGCATCTCTGTGTGCGCATGTGTGAGGCCGTCAGCCGGCCCTGGGTCTTGGACAGAGTCTAGTTAGAGTCTCCTTCTCCAGTTTATCGTCTACTTTGAGGATCCCAGGGCCCTTAAATTGAATGCTCCTGAGCACCCAAAGTCCCCTCATGCCACCCATCACCCTGAACTGGGGATTCTTACAGGGTCCCCCACCTTTTCTCAGGATAACTTCTTTGTGGAGGGTTTGGCCCTAGAGAAGAGGCTGGGACAGTGGGAGTGGGAAACCCAGTGCCCAGAAGGGAAGGGATGGGATCCTAATCTTCGGCACTGGCACTTTGGGTTATCCAGGGGCCTGGATGGGCCTTCCCCAGGCTGAGGAGTTCAGTTTAGACACGACTCTACCACTTACTGAGGAGACTAATTTGCTCCTCCCAAGCCTCAGTGTTTCCGTCTATAAATGGGGATAATTACACCTTTGGAGGAAGGAGAGTTGTGAAGATTCAAGTCAGGGGATTAGCTCAGGCCTGGCATTGAGCGGGTAGAAGCAGCACACAGGAGTCTGGGAGTGTGAGCAGGCTTCCTGGGCCACAGCCAGGCCTGGGCATCTGAGCCAGTGGCCACAGTGACATCTGGCCTGTCCCAAGCTCCTCTCTCCACTCCCACCATACTTACTGCAACAAATAGAACTGGGTTTGTACTGCCAGACACACATACGTGCAAAAATACACAGGACAACCCAGGTGAGGAGGGGAAGGAACTAGAGGGGGGATTATGGAATTTCTTCTCCCTGGAAACAGACCCAATTTATTACTGTCATCACCAACATTATTCTGTGTTAACATCAAATGAGAGAACACAGCAACAACGTCATCCTTACAACAGCACGAGGAACAGACGGCAGTGTCTACCACTAGCCCTGCCTCGTGGTGGCCCATTGACATTTACAGCACAGAAACCCCTCTGCTGATCTATACACCCTGGTCTGTGGTGCTGACCAGATGCAGGGGGATGGACCAGGGGACTCCTAGACAGGTGAGGAACTCGTGAACGACATCCCCAGTAGGGAAGTGGGTTGGAAGCGGGAGCGGCATCCACTTCCTAAGCCACTTGCCTGCAGAAACTCCATGAACTTTGATAAATGTCAGTAGTTATAGAAAAGCTTCAGGCCTTTTGTTCATAGGGTCGCTATGAGTCGTGCTCAACTCGAAGACAACAGGGGTAAAGGCGGTTGTTAACACTTCCAGTCGTAGGTTTTCAAGGACCTGACTTGGTATATAACTTGGAGAGGAATCTTGAATCTCAGTTTCCTTTCCTGCAAGGCAGAGATAGGCCTACAGACCCCCATCAGTCTTGAGCTCACCCCTTCTCACTCCTCCTTCCATTCCCTGGCTGTCTGTCCGTCCATCACTAACCTTGTTCCGTTCTTGTAGAGCTGACTGCTGCTGGAGGCCTGGCGTCTGGTCCAAGATGCCTGGTAGATGTGACTGTTCCGCTGGGGAATCTCAGAGTGCCCGTCGGCCGGTCAGCTTCTGAGAAGAGGCCAGGCCTCTTCTTCCCCAGGTCAGCTGGCCCCACCCCTGTGAATAATGCCAGTTGCTTCACCTTGCTGGACCTCACTGGGCTTTGATGATTTGGGGGGATTGGCATGAATGGATGGGAGACAGGACAGGGTTAAAGACCCAGCCAACCAGGAGGCACAGAAATGGATCAGTTGGAGGAGGTTCTTTCCTCACATGCCTTGTGGCTTCTAC